CGAGAACTTGCCGGAAATTCCGTGAACTTTTTTTAACTTGACAGAAATTCCGTGAACTTGTAGAAGTTTTGTGAGCTCTAGATAGAGCTGGAATTAGGGCGTAACAGCTTTTGTATACAATGGATTCTCTCGATGATTTCTCGAAAGACATGACTCTCCCTGGCAAATCAACATTACCATCGAATAGGGGAAGACTTCCTCTACCCGATGGACATGTTTATTTGTGTAGGCGTGCCTTGAGTTGCTAGAAATCAACGAGAGAAGTCATTGTTTACAAAAGTTGTTACGCCCTGCTTTATCTAGAACTTAATTCTAATTCTTAGAATCTTCGTCAACTCCTCAGTCGGAAGTTTTGTGAATTTGTCGGAAGATGCGTGAATTTGTCGGGAGTTTGTGAAGTTATTGGAAGTTCCGTTAACTTTTGAGAAATTCAATGAACATTCGGAAGTTCTGTAAACTTATCGGATGTTTCGTGAGCTTGTCAGAAGTTCCGTAAACTTCTCGGAATTTTCGAGAATTTGTCAACAGATTCGATAAATTCTCGGAAGTTTCTTGTTGGTAGTTATGTGTAGTTGTTGGACGTTCCGTGAATTTGTTGCAAGTTCCGTGAACTTATTCTTCATTCCGTTAACTTGTTGGAATAGTGGTGCCGGTGGTGTAGTGGTAAGCGTGATTACCTCTCATCCCAGCAGGCTTGGGTTCAATCCCAGTTGGCGCCGCCAGGATGTTTTGATGCCGTTGGTCCCCGGTTCATGTGTTGATGTGTCGATAGGTAGGGTCCAGGTGTGGGAGCTGCCTCCCTGGCGTCGGTAGCATGGGTGCCCGTGCTGGGATCGACAGGAAACAAATCAAGGGAAAAAAAAACTTGTTGGAACTTGTTGATGATTCTGTGAAGCTGTAGAAAACTCTCACAACCTTTCAGAAGCCCCGTGAAATTATAAGAAGTTCGGAGAACTGCTCGAAAGTTCCCAGAAATTATCAGAAGTTTCGTGAATTTGTCGAATGATTCGAGAAATTATCACAAATTCTGTGAACTTTGCGAAAGTTTCGTGAACTTGTCGGAAATTCCGAGTACTTTTGGTAAATTCAATGAACTTGTGTAAATTCTCAGTAACTTCGCGACCTTGTTCCGTGAACTTTTCGGAAGTTCCGTAAATACATATGTTGGTAATTCTGTGAACTTTGAATTTGTGTTCAAGATTTTTCAACAAATCATAACCCCAAAACGTCACCTCTAACTAAATATACGTCTGATACAAAGCAGTAGGATAACGGCGCCGGTGGTGTAGTGGTAAGCGTGATTACCTCTCACCCAAGCAGGCCTGGGTTCAATCCCAGTCGGCGCCGCCGGGATGTTCTGAGGCATAACATCTCTGATCACGCCTTCCTTCGGATGGGAAGTAAAGCCGTTATTCGCCGGTTCATGAGTTGATGGGTCGATAGGTAGGGTCCAGGTGTGGGAGCTGCCTTCCTGGCACGTCGGTAGCATTGGTGCTCAGCACGGAAAACAAGATCAACGGAAAAAAACAAACCAAAGGAAAAAAAAAAGCAGCAGGATAAAAAAAAAATGTTTTCAAGGCAAAAAATGACGAACATGTTTGGGTAAAAAAATCCAAAGGTGTGTCAATCTTAAATAGCAAAATATTACCATCTTCAATATTTTTGAGGATTTTTTTTTATTTAAAAGCTTTCTAAATAATGCGCTTTCTGCGAGAATTTCAAGTTTCGTTGGACATTTTACGGATGTTTCGGATCTTCCGGGGGCACCATATGGCCACCACCTAAAGCCAATATCAAAAATCACCATTCACTACACACTTAGAAGTTATTAATTTTACACATGACGGAATCCATCTTTGACATAAAGGATGAGACGTAAACAAACATGTCATGTAAAATTAAGTACTCCGAGACTGAAAAGTTCGAAAGTACGTTTGATTGAACTGAATTTCACGTCTAATATGACTCAATTTTATGTCAAATTTGACGCTCGTATAAGTCAGTCTCAAAGCACCTAAATTTACATTAATTTTTCTAAGTGTGTACATCCCATATCATTTCAGAGAATATGTTGTATATATATATGAATATGTTCGTAGAATTTTAGAGAACTTTAAAAGTATACAGAATTTGTGAAAAAGTGTGGATACTTTCAAGAAGCTCTAGGTACCTCAGAAAAGATAAAACTAGAGATCTTCTGGAGCAGTTTAAAGGTCTATTAGCGTGAGTTAAGAAAAATTTAGGAAGCTCCATGTATGCTGAAGAAAAAAAATCGAGAACCCTTACGATGTTTCAAGTACTTCAGGGAAGTACAGAGGCCTTCAGAGAATTTATGAAAACTTCCAAAATATGTCAAGAACTTCACGGCAAATTAATTTGCATTTCTCCTCACAAATTCTTTAGATTTCTCCGGATATTTTGTGCGGAATACTCCCCTGGAATTATTTTCCGAATTCCTTTGAAGATCTCCTGTGTTTACTCTCAGATTTAATTGTAATCCACCTTGCATCCCCTAACGCCCTTAAGTATTCTCCATTTCCATGGACTTATGCTCCGGATTCGTTTTCTCACAGAAACTTTATGAAATTATCCTACGAATGCGCTTGGAATTTTCCTCTGAAGTTCACAGGAGTTCTTCTCCACATAAATGCGAATGAGCTTTCATTAAATATTACTTTGAGTTCAATTCAGGGGTTTCATGAAACTATACTCAAAACTATCTCAGGCTTCACATGAAATCGCAAATTTCTCAGAACTATATTGAAAGCAAATTTCACTTGATGTTATCTCAAAGATTTGTTTTTTTTTCATGTGGTCCTTAGAAATTATAACAAAACTCCATAGGCCTTTAAAACTGTGCAAGGAATTTGACTCCAGATTCTTAAAGTATTATAACTTTGAAGTCCAGAATTTAAAAAACTTAAATTTAATTTTTTTTAAATCCATTTTTTTTCTTTAATTTATCCTTAGTAAGGAAATCATTAGATTCCCTGAGTAATTATGAGAATCCCTGAGACTTCCAGCTATTTTCAAGAAAAAATCAAATTACCGGTTTTTCAGGTTCTTACAGGTTGTAAACAACCCTTGCTAATACCGTGGATTTGATCATAAGTTTTCTATTCAATCTTTCGCTTTAAAGTTTCATATCATATCATATTTGCATATTTTCTTCAACATGGTCACTAAAATCACTATTTTTGAGAGCATTGACCACTACCAGCTAAACATCGTTGTTCGTATGCCTTTTCGTAAAAATGAAATCGCTCAAAGCACGATAGGCCCTCATCAAAAGTAAGGCAGGTGGTGTTCATTTGACACGCTAATAACTTTTCGGGGATAACTAGGATTCACATTCGATGTTCAACCAAAAAGTTCCCAATACTCCAAAGGTTCTACATTTTGTACACGAAGAAAATCGATCCACTACAGCGCCACCTAGAGCCGCGAATGTGAGAGTGGTACATTTTGTCGATTTTTCCTATACGAAGTTCAAAGCCTTCGAGCGAGGGGTTCCCGTGAACCAAATGATTTCAAATGTTTCCAGGACCCCCAAACTACCATCCCAGGTGGTAGCGTTTTAAATTCCAGGATGGACGTATTTTAAGGCACTCTAATGTACAATTTAGATGTGATGGGTCATTCGGCCTAACGTACTTAGGCGTAATGACCCAATTTAAATATGCAATGAAATTTCATAACATTTACTAACTTCACTTGTTAGGCATGTTTAAAAATATGGCGATATAAAAACGACCATAATATTCCAATCGCTGTTTTGTTTCAAACCCATCCAAGACTCCGTGCTGTGCGGAAAGCTAAAAAGTTTCCAACCGATTGCGACTGTGAATCGAGCGGGCAACTTCCCTACGAAACGTGTTCCAGAACAAAAAAAAAGCGTTCAACGTTAATCTTATCGCAAACATTTCAACAACCAACTGGTTCGTCGTAACCTTCAACTCTTCTCAATATTATTATTGGCCGCTGTTTGGTGAGACGAGGAGACCCAACGGTGACACACTTTACAATAATACAGTTCGTCCGCCCTCGACTCGCAGCAAGCACTTCTAACACACGGCTTGTCCTGCCTGGCTGCCTGCCTGTTTGCCTGCTTGTCATATAGTAGTGTGTCACTAATTTACATTAGAAAACTATTAGCAAACAAGCGCGTCGACAACTTCCAGCTGTATTTATCGTTTTGTACTGGGGTTGCCATCGTCGCCGTTCCAGCAATTGGACGCCGCGCTGCATCTATATGTATTCAACGCACGGGTTCCCATTGTGCGTATCGTGGTGACCTCTAAAATTAACGCACGCTTCTTTGAGCAGAAATAAAAAACTAGGGCGTGCACGGATCTGCATTTCATTTTACCATATAGAGAGCAAGAGTCGCCACTAGCATGGGGTGTGCGCCAATTGCATACCGTCCGGGCGAACATTGGTTCTGAGATGGAATTTTACTTTGATGGTCCTAGCCTGAGTCACCCTATACAAAGTGAACGCAGGCCTGGAGGGCAATTGTACATTTTTTGAATTGTAAATTACAACTCGATTAGATTGGAACCGCTTCGATAGATCACGACGCGAGCGAGTAGTTAAATATTCATAACGCACATCTGCATATGGGCGCAGATAGCTGGATCGTGAACGCCAGGTATAAGGCAGGAGTAGGGCTGCTTTGTAGGGAATTTCATAAACGCACCATACGACGGACGACCGACGCTTTCCTTAGCGTTTTAACCATTATCATCATCATTATCGTCCGTCTTGGGCTGTTGCTCATCGTAGCCTGTACGCGTTACTAATTGCTGATTTTGCCTCTATTTTAATTATTTAAATTTAATATCAACGATTAGGATCTCTCCGCGCACTGCGACCAATGTGTGTGTACTAACCGAAGGAACTTGTTTTGATTTTTTTTTTGTATTGTTGCTGTAGGAAAAAAAAAACACACTTAATCGTCGATTTACTCATGCGAATTATTTCTCTCGGTCTCGTTACAGACATTAACGATCGGATCATCGCCATGGGCTACCCGGCGGAGCATATGGAATCGATCTACCGCAACAAGATCGAGGACGTACAGAAAATGCTGGAGAAGAACCACGCCGGTTGCTACAAAATCTACAATCTCTGCTCGGAGCGGAGCTACAATCACAAACGCTTTCCGGTAAGTTGAACAGTGTGGGCGAATGATGATGTAATGATGCATAAGTTTAAACTCACTTTCCAAGAAAAGTGCATCTTCTAAGCAATTCCACGTCAACTGACGAATCGATCAAGCCTTCTCCAAACTCCGTGAAACATTGCAGAATTCTGTCCGAGTCCTTTTTGAATAGGTTCTATATCCGTTTGTCGATCAAAAACATCGATTAACTTGATTCGTTGCCTGCCGCGAACTGAGAGGTATTTGCAATATTGGTACATACAATCAAAAGTTCAAACATTAAAATAACGATTGTACACACTTAGATTTTTTCGCCGAGATGGGCACCACCGAGCAGCTCGGCATTTTATTTTGCTGGATCTCAGTGAAAAACTTACCGTGATTCAGCTATCAAACGGAAATTTCGCCGAGATCTCATCTAACAAACATATTTTTTGCTGAATTTCCAGCAAAATAAAATGCCGAGATGCTCGGTGGTGCCCATTTCGGCAAACAAATCTAAGTGTGTAGGTATCATTATTGCGAAAATACCACATTTTTAGAACGACAAATGCAAGGTGTCGACTACCTGGAAAATCAGGGAATATCAGGGAATTCATTTTTGGGCCTGGAAAATCAGGGATTCTCAGGGAATTTCATTCAAATTCAGGGAAATATTTCTTAATCACAGAAGTATGACAAAATTTGCTAGTTTTAAACATTTTAATTACTCGGTGTAATTTGAAGATGGTTGTTCACTTCAAATTTTAAATAGAGTTGCGAATTTGTGGTTGCTCAATGCTTGATGTTGCATTTCTGCAAGTTGAGCAAGATTTACTCAAATAAAAGGGGATTTTGATGATGTTGACCCTAATATTAATTCAGCTGGGTGTTGACAGATTTCTGAGTTGAACTGAGATCCTGACGGTTGATAAAAAATCCATTTCCGTAGAAACAAGACATTGTTAGTTGTTGCAAACTTCATCCAAATTTGTATGTCTTGGTCTCTTAGTAGATGTTATATCTAACTGCGTCTGACTTAGATCCTTTGGGTGCATTGGAGCGCTTTTGAGAGGATGATTTTTATTTCTGAACACTTGTAGTTCTTGTTCCTTATTGTGTTCTAAACAGCCTGATAATCTCAAAGAATAAATTAAATGAAAATTTAGGATAATGGTCTTGCTTGGGTGAATTTTTGTCATTCATGCTTGGAGTAGCACTTTTATGATTGAAATATGATTCAAAGAAACGTAGACAAGCATTGCCTCTACAGCATAGAGTGGCTTTACTGAGTATTCTTGGTTTTCATTGTAAATCTGATTAGCTCGGAAAAAATAGATTCTCAGTGAAAGGTGAAAGCGCTGTTTTTACGATTTCCCACCATAGGAATCTGGCCGCAAATTAGCGTTTGGTTAGCGTATTAACCGGAATAATTTTCTTTCGAACCTGGGTCTCAAAGTTGATTTTGCTACATTTCCCCGAATGTCGTTTCCCCGAATGTCATTTCCCCGAATAGTCATTTCCCCGAATGCCGTTTCCCCGAATGCCATATCCCCGAAAAAAAAGTTAGGAAATGTCCAACCCTTATTGTTGACAATTTTCTTACTATATTTTGAGCATAGTGAGCAGATTGCAAACCAGATTAAATTTCAAACTATGCAAATGGAAGGTTTATGAGATTAACCCAATTACCAATTAATTTGCTTCGAGTAAAGGGTGATACGGTCAAAATTTGGTCAAGGGAAAACGCGTGTAAATCGGTGAAATCGTTTATTTAAAAAATCAAATTAAATTTCTTTTTCAAGTTCAATTAGTATAAAATTCAGGAAAAATATTCAGTTAGGCTTCCGCTTTTCCAAATCCGAATTGCCGGGCCTTACGCTTGACCCCTGCCATCAGATTTTGTACAGCCACCTTGTCCACCTTCTTCGCCGCAGAAAGCCAGTTTGCCTTGAACTGCTGCTCGCCCTTAGCAGTTTTTTGACGTAGGACTACGTCTTTCGGGAAGAGGGGGGTAAACTTTATGAAAACGGAAAATGAAATTATGAAAGATTTTGAACGTTAATAACTTAGCTGCCCCTGGACCAATTTCAATAATGTTATCACCAATCAATCAGAAACTTTTCTACGCATCGATAACAATGCTTTTGACTGTTGATTTTTCAATTGAAACTATTGAAAAAGTGGTAAATGTCAAGCATTGTCCAGAAGCTTCGAAATAACTAATAAATCCACCAATTACGTACATGCATGTGCTACTTCCCCAACACAGTCATCAGATAATGGTTCCTAGATGAAACAAGTTGAAGTGACATTCGCTTGCAATCTTCGTGCGTGTACGAATAGGGAGGATGCAATTGCGGAACATTTTGTGCTGAAGGTGTTCCTAAAAAATATGATCCGTGATGCCGTCACCTACACTGAACACGCCTAGCGTAAACCCGTCACGGCCATGCATGTCGTCTACGCTCTGAAGCGACAGGGACGCACGCGCTCTGTACGGTTTCGGAGGTTAAAACTTATTACCAACGTATCAAAACGGCACTTTTCAGGGCCACCAAGTTCAATTCAGAAAAGAGTTAGAATAGCATTTATATAGAGTAACTCATGATTCACCCATTCAATTTGTCACTAAATTGATGTATATTGATGATTCAAAAATCAAATAATTTGTTAGGGAAATAAATTATGTTCTATCTGTAGTCATATCGGTGGGTTAAATTTATTCCGTTTACCTTTCATAAACTGAGAAACCCTCATCGTATGCATTCTCTTGCTGCGCGACATCTTCGAAAACGTCTGAACCGTTAAATAATACAGAGTACAGAGAGTACAGACTAGAAAATCGAACAAAAATTTCGTAGTCTTACGTCAACAATGCGGTCGTGTCTTGTACACCACCCTCCAACTTTTTGGTCTTCTTTAGGTTCCGCTTGACAATAGCCCAGTATTTCTCAATTGGGCGGAGCTCTGGCGTGTTGGGAGGGTTCTTGTCCTTGGGAACCACCTGCACGTTGTTGGCGGCGTACCACTCCATGGCCTTTTTACCGTAATGGCAAGATGCCAAATCCAGCCAAAACAGTACGGAACAACCGTGTTTCTTCAGGAAAGGCAGCAGACGTTTATTCAAACACTCTTTCACGTAAATTTTTTGGTTGACAGTCCCGGAAGCTATGAAAATGCTGCTTTTCAAGCCACAGGTACAGATGGCTTGCCAAACCAGATATTTCTTTGCAAACTTTGACAGTTTCATGTGCTTGAAAACATCTGCTACCTTTCCCCTTCCTTTTGCCGTATAAAACTCCTGTCCCGGAAGCTGCTTGTAGTCGGCTTTGACGTAGGTTTCGTCGTCCATTACCACGCAGTCAAACTTCGTCAGCATCGTCGTGTACAGCCTCCGGGATCGCGCTTTGGCCGTCGTATTTTGTTTATCATCGCGATTTGGAGTCAATACCTTCTTGTAAGTCGATAGTCCGGCTCGTTTTTTGGCTCGATGCACGGTTGTAGACGATACACCCAGCTTATTTGCGGCATCTCGGAGAGAGAGGTTAGGGTTTCGCTTGAAACTACCGGCAACTCTCTTTGTCGTCTCAGCGGCTTCCGGTTTTCGATTTCCCCCCGATCCAGACTTCCTGGCTGTCGACAAACGTTCCCCAAACACTTTAATTACATTTGTAACGGTTGATTTGGCAACTTTTAGCGATTTTGCCAACTTTGCGTGCGAGTAGCTCGGATTTTCGCGATGCGCGAGCAAAATTTTGATACGCTGCTCTTCTTGCTTGGACGGCATTTTGACAACTGAAGAGTGAATTCCAAAATCAAAATAGGAGCAACATTCTACACACACACACCTTCAAAATGAGGGGTGTTCAGGTTTTGTAAATGCAAAATTGAAAGAAATACGTCAAGTTGATATTTACCAAATTTTGACCGTATCACCCTTTACACCCAATTTAAAGAATTACAAGGAAATCACACATGTCATATTCTAGCTATTTTGATAATTTTCTTTTAGCTCGAATGTTATTCTACTGCTCGTGTTGTGTGAGAGAGACGACGGTAGAGCATGAGTGTTCGAATACATACAGCCTGTCGCGCACGACAACGAAGCGAGTGTAGTAAAAAACGTCAACTGTTTCAACCCCTGATAGTGAGTTTTGGTGAATATTTTCAACACTGCTTCTAAGGGTGAGAAAATCGCCATGCCAAGGACTCTTCTCATATCATGGAGTAAATCGACCTAACTTGTTGAAAATTTTAAGCGATTAAGCAAGACTGATATCAAGATGGTTACAGTTTCCTTCGCTATTAATCATGAATTGAACTGTTTACCAGGCGCTTACCGCGATTACAATTGGTGAATTTAAAAAAATGTGGTGCCTTCCCATTTTTGGCAACACGCAATTTCGATCTTTTTTTGCATTCTATAAAATATATCGAACGCTTTATTCAATTTGAGATTGTACTGGACCAATCTTCATGGGTTAGAGGTCCATGTGGTATTTAATGAAAAAATGTCCAGAAAGCACTACCCAACTAACAATTTTGGCTGCAGACAAGCTGATACAACCGAAAAATTACGTTATGCATCTAATTTGTGCCTGTATAGGCTGGTCTGCAGCTAGAACTGTTTGTTGGGTAATACATATCTGAGGGAAGTAATAGCTGGTAAGATCATGTTGACAAAACCATGTAGACACTGCAACTGGAATTTGTTGGAAAATTACTGGAAAATCAAAGAATTTTGTTTTCTTCATTGAGACTACACCCTGAAATGGATAAAGGACCTATTAAAAAATTAATTGAGAATTGTTCGTTATATTTTTAACGTAGGACTACGTCTAACGGGGACTCACTTTGTGAAAACCGAAAATGGAACATGTAACAAAATTACGAAAGATTTTGAACGTTAATAACTCAGCTGCCCCTGGACCAATTTCAACAATTTTATCACCAATCGATTAGAAATATCTCTGCGCATCTGTTGAATTTAAGACTTCATCATTCCTCATAATGTCACTACT